TCCAGAAGTTACTAATCTTTTGCAACCTATTAAAGGTAAAACGCATTAATCTTGTCATCTCTTTTGGGTGGATCTAGTTTGGGGCGGTTTGTGGTATATTGTGGTCTCTTTGGTTTGCCTTTATGAGAATGAGTTTGCCTCAAGAGTTCGGTCCTTAGATCTAGACGTTTTAGGTATCCCAAAATACATAAAAATGTGATCGTAGGGGATAATATCAACCCATGCATGAGTGTTAGTTCCGTTGTTGAATTTATCAAGATTTGACTTGGATTTGGGACCTTTAAGCCAAGCAAAAGCTCAATGTCAACAACTTTATGGATTAAGGCATGATTTGGAACAAGTTCGGAGTATTGGATCCTTTGGCTTAGGGGATTAAGATATTTTCTAAGTGGATTGTGAGCAGTATGCATACGAGGGGCGTACATCCTGGTATATAGCGCGTACTGAGCCAACTCGGTGTATGTTGGTCGTACCAACTGAGTACACGGGGCGTACTCAGTCTGTTTTAGCTTCCTTGATTTGTTGACCTTTTGAGTATTGACCATTGGCTAGAAGTTTGACTGGAGTATAACAATGGATATTTTGGGCATTTTAGGATATTGGGCCTTCTCGGATTAGGCCTATGATGGGTTTTGGGCCCAATATAGCAAATTGGGCCATATTTGGGCTTTGGCTGATTATATTAGAATTTGGATTTTGGGTAAGTGGATTGGGCTTTGGCCTTAAGCTAAGTTTAGGTAACGGTAAAAAAGTCTTTAAGCCTAATTTGGACTCTTAGTGTGATTCGTGATCAAATTGTTAATTGGATGTTATTTTGTGATTGACAACGCAGGGGATTTTAGCGAATCTGCAACTGGAGATTTATCTGTGGGTTTCAGCCGTATGAGGTGAGTCTCGTCAATGTATCTATGGGTCGAACGCACTAATGTAGGCCTATTGGCTTATGTGTTGTTGAAAGACCAAGGGGTGGCCCTTGGCATTGTATGAAACACCCAGAGGTGGCTCCTAGCAAATATGTATGCAAGACCAGGGTTAGGACACTGGTAGTTAAGTAGATTGTTAGTTGTGGAATGTATGCTTGTTGTCTTTATGATGCTTTCATGCAATACCAAGTGGTGGCTCTTGGCACATGTCTGTAAGACCTAGTGTTATGGCCCCGACTTGGCAAGGAAAGACCATGATATGGTTCGTGATATAATGGCAAGACTATGGCTGTCACATTCCATTCTCTATTGTATGTATGGTATGTGGTATTTTGGGAAAATCACTAAGCATTGTGCTTATTGTTTATTTTTCATGTTTTCACGTACTTCTGGTTCAAAAAGGAAGGGTCCGACTTAATTACAACGCATAAACCCATGTTTTTCCGTGACCTTGTGATTTTGGGAATTGTATTCTGATAACTGTTTTATTATGAAATAGTTTTAAATGTTCGAATATAAGATAAATAGGTGTTTTGATTATATAAAAAATCAAGTTGGTATGAGAGCCTTAGTTTGAGGGATTGCGATAGTAACCTACCAATTTAATCGTCATTAATCTCATGTATAATTTCACCCAATTTAAATTTGTATTTTCCTTATACAAATTTTTTTAATGATCTCAAGTTTTTCACTCTAAAAATATTTCAAGCATTTATTTCATATTCGTTCCTTTATCAAATTTTAATTTTTTATTTTCCTTATATTCATAAATTTTTTATTGGGATAATGATTTGAGAGGGTAAAGTAATTTAGCTTTTGGTCTTATTTGGTCACTAAATTATTTTTTGTGTTTTATTAACCCTTAAACTTGTTGAAACGTTACATTATACCATTATGACCGATAATTGTGGGTTTCGCCGGTTTCAGACGTGGTTTCCAGCCAAGTATGATTTTCCGATCACCATCATTTGGGGTTGTTTCATAGGTTCGGATGCGCTCAACTCAAAAACCATAAATTGGATGAACTCAGACAAGATAAGGACTCTGATGGTCTGCTATAAGACCAAAAATGTGATGTACTTGTATGCTTATGTGAACGATTTTCAGAAAAGTTTTGGTGTGAGCATAAATCTTAAAAGATCCAATCGTGGTTCATAAAACCCAATATTAGATTTTTAAGGTTTTATGGGTTTTAATGGTAGTTCATCAAAACCCATCTCTGAAACAAAACACATATCTGATGTGCTCATCGTTCTTGTCACCGAATCAAAAAATCAAAGCTGGAATACGAACAAATGAAAAATGATCTTGAATCTTAAAAACGAACCAATAACTTGTTCATGTGTTCATCATGTGTGTAGAACCCAAAAATCCCTAAATCGATGGGTATGGATCTAAAAGGAAGCTCAAAATATGAAATGAATCTTCGAAATCGAAAGAGTTACAGTTCTGTCATCGATGAGCGAGATGAATATGAAAGAGCATTTGAAAACTTTTCCCTTAAAATCCAGATCCGACCCATAGGTGTTAGGGTTTGCAAATCGGAGCTTGGTTTTGTAGAAAATCTGAAGGAAGAAAGGCGGTGTTCCGGAGAAGACGACAACATTCTAAAAAAGGTTTACCGTCGCTTGTTCCGACAATGGTTTGTAGCTCGGAGGCTAGGATTTGTGAGTTTATTTTCGTGTGTTCATGTTCATGTTCATCTTCATCAGCTTTCAATTTTCACACGAACACGAAGAACATATAGTTGGTTGTGGTTTGTGAGTTCATTTTCTGAATTCTGTGTCTAATTCCTTGAATAAAACCTAGATTAAATGTGTAGCCGAAGATAAGGAATGCTGAAAATGTTGCCACATAAGCTGACCGGAAAACCCACTATTACTGGTCATAATGGTATAATGTACAATTTCAATAAGTTCACGAGTTAATAAAGCATGAAAAATAGTTTAGTAACCAAAAGAAAAAGTACATTAGCCTCTCAAATCATTATCAATTTTTTATTTTTGATAATTTACGCGATTTTTATTTATTTATCAAATTTAAACTTTACAAAATCGGATTTAATAGTAACCTTCCAACTTAATCGTCATTAATTTCATCCATAATTTCAACCAATTTAAATTTGTATTTCCATAAATAATTTTTTTAATTATCCTGATTTTTTCCCTCGAAATATTTTTCGAGCATTTATTTTTAGATAATGTTGCCCCATTATAATTATAACTTTCCTCATATTAAATATATAGGGAAAAGATTAAATGAGAACATCTGAAAGGTTGAGAACGTAAGAAAAGTTCTAGAACAATCAATATATAAGAGTATATTAGTAATTGTATGTTTTAATTAAAATAAAATTCAATAAAATTCCCTTGAATTTAGGATCAGTTACCAAAAAACAAAGAAATATTCAATTTTTTTATTTTTCTTATTAATTGAATATAGAAAAACATTTTTACTCATACTTATTTTAAATCTAAATAAACAAATTCTAAAAAAATCAATTTTGTCCTATTTCATTTTTTTTTCCAAAAAGATGAATAGCAATTCAATCCCAAATCAATAAATTTGTAGTACAACCAACAGTTTGTATGTTCGTTGAATCATTTCATGTCGAGAGAAAAAGAAAAAGCATAGGAGAGAAGCCAATAGCGTTAGAGAAAATAATCAAAGACCCTAATCTTTGATTAGTGTGGGGTAACAATCATGTATGAAGATAGAGTAGAGAGAAGAAAGAATTCCTTCAAAATAGGTCTTAAAACAAGTCTTAATAAGTTACGAGTTAAAATAAAGATCACAGACATAAGATTTGTTGAAGGAATGCAATCTGCCAGTACCTAGTTCTCACGACATGAACCATTACTTCTCACGTCGTGAGCCAAATTTCGTCATAATTTCAAAAACAACCCGAACCATACTCACGTCATGAGACATTACTTCTCACGTTGTTAGTTGCCTTTAATGAACCATGAACTCTTCATAAGGGTTGGAATCAAGCCCACCAAGGTACATTTTTTTAAAAATTTTATTGACATGATCATGTAAAGTTACTCATATACCCTTTATTGCTTCACTTTTGGCATAATTTTACTTTTGAATGCTTGATTGTATTTGCAATTTTAGACCATTTATTCGTTCGCTTTCTGCATAATTTTATTTTTTATTGCTTACTTTTCCTATCTCAGGCAATAGCAGGACCATGCCATAGCAACACCCTGACATCCAATGGTTTTGTTTCCATTATTTGGTCTGATAACTCTAGCTAACTTGGTTATGAAACTGTTCGAGTATTTTTAACATGGTTCAAAGCTAAACTAAAATAGCTTATTGAAATTTTGCAGGCCAATGGACTATTTTCTTTCATGTCTGAGTTGGTTCTTAACTTTTAGAAGAAGAATAACGTAAAATATTTTGGCATCTGAGTGTAAAAAATAATATTTAAAATAATAAGTTCCTTAATAATACTTTATTGTGTTACATGTATTTTATTACTTACTCATAATATATACTTCAATTTGATTATTGATTATATTTTGTCTGCTTTAGCACTTTGCAGCTTGTGAAAAGACATAAATACCCTTTTTAGATTAAAAAAAAAAAGTTAACCTTGGAGGATAGCCTCAGTAAGTTCCAATAGCAGACCATTTTTCGTGCATAAATAGATCCTCCTGTATTCACATTTTATAATAAGAATTTGACCTAATTAGTTTATTGGTTTGAAAATAAAATTACTTGATCTTACTCACTCCGTATTATGTGATATAACACCAGATTTGATGAACATGGTTGTGCTAGAATCTTGAATTGTTGTGTACTCGATCCGTATCGGCTGTGAATTCTCACTTAGTTGCATCTGCATATTAGAAAATTAGAAAATTTAATGATTAAAAAACACAACAAGACAAGAATCAAAATTCCATGGAAGAACCTGGTATAAGATTCCTGCTTCAGAAAGAGCAAGAATTGTGTGATTGATAAACAACATAGAAACTGCATAACCACTTGGTACAGGGAGTTCATGAGGTGCAATCTCCCACTGCACACCATTCCAGAATCTCTTATAGATCGAAGAACACACCCATGGCTATCGCCAAAGTCATACGTGAAGAACACGCCGGTCGAGTTCACGAATTTCGGGATTCTGATGAAGACGATTTTAGATTCTCGTTGGATTTAAGTGAAGAAGGAGTTTCAACAAAAGAGATCGATTCGCGAGGCTGGACTGTTTTTCCTCTTTTCAATCGCGATCTTCTCATCAAGGATGAAGTTAAATCAATGGATAATGACATTCATGCTTCTGATTCTATCACCGGTTCATTATGGAAGTTGTTCATTGATGAACCAGAAGAATCTTCTTCGTGTTCATCATCAGAAGCCTACGAATCGGAAGGTGATTATATGGTAAATCAAAGGATAATGAGATTCATGCTTCTGGAACTTTCTGCGTGTGGAGGCCTAAGACGGAAGGTGGATCATCACCTGTTATGACTAAAATTAAGAAGAGTAGTTCTATCGGGACTCTATTGAAGAAGTTGAAGCTACATGTAAGGGAAGCAAGATTAGTGAGTCTCTTTGAAGAAGTTTTGAAGAGTAGACAATTCATTTATGTAATTCGATTTCAGATCATCTGTCGTTTATGTGTGTGTGGGTACTATGAGATAAAGAGGGAGCGTAAAACCCTAATCTAGTGGGGGTGAGATTTTAAAACTAATATCCTAATTTAAAGGGGGATATTATTTGATTTTATCAATTTACCGTAATTAATTATAGTATAGATTACTATTATACCCCTATATTTATTATTAATGATTTGTTTTTTCCTAAATTTTTACTGGTGCATTCATGCACACAATAGTTGCTGAAAACATTTAAACCTAGCTCTCTATCTCTCTCTCTCTCTCTCTCTCTCTATATATATATATATATATATATATATATATATATATATATATATATATATATACTATATTGTTAAGCATATTAAACATTTCTTGAAAACATTAAGAGGTACAATTTATAAAGCAACAATTACAATTATCTAATGTAAATTACTACTAATTACAATTATCTAATGTAAATTACTACTAATCTTTGTTTGGAAAACCAAACCATCAATCCTTACCAAATACAACATACACCATGAATTAAGGAGGTGATTGTGGAAATCAACTTTAAAAACTTATTTATTAAATGTAAGCTAGATATAGAAATATACATAAACAGACCATTAATATTTGCTAAACTCGAATACCATGGATTGGTAATTATGGGAATTACTTTTGAATTATTGAATTCGCTTATCTTATTTTTTTAGATGCCGAATTCTCATACATTCTCATATAAATAATCACATCTATCTAGGCCCTAATTAAAATCAAGAATGCAGGGCATCGTCGTAACTATGTCTCTATATTCTGCTCTAGATGGAACTTTGCCCCCATGGTTTACCATCTCGTTTATCATTAATTACTATCTCCTACTTTTATCTACAAGCAAACATTGCAATATTACAAGACTCTCCCACCATTTCATGCAACAACTAGAAACAAAAATGAGGTTACATGGCATATTCATTATTTTATCATTTTATTAATCATCTTTTTTATTTTTGTTGAGATATTATTCAAACTATTATAATTTTTTTATATATGAATCTCAAGTAGAGTTCAAATTTAATTTCATGTGTCATTGCGTTCGATAGGAATAATATTATTGGCATTTAAGCTCATTAACTTGTCAAAATCTCTTTTTTTTTTTTGTGTGTGTGTCCGCGCATTCAGTTGTCGAGAAATTTATATGGAATATACACCTTTTTGTGGCTATAAAGAGTTCTTGTTTTTCATCTTTATTGTCATAGGTTTTACTAATGTATGTATTAATCATAACCATCTCCCTCTAATACATAACTATAGAGGAAATTTATTTATTAATTTTATATAAGAGCAATGTATAATCCCATTTTTAATTGTGTGTATGCATGTTTATTCCTTTTTAATACTTCATTTTCATGCATAACGATAATATGCTTTCTTTTTCAAGATCTAATTTTTAATAATTGTGTGCCTATTTATTTCTATGATAATAGTTTTATGATATCATCAATTTTAGTAAAAAAAATGTTTTGACATGAGTTTTCAGTTTAGAAATACTCCGTATCTGTTTATTTTTTATAATTTAAATATTAATAAAAATAAAAAGAGTATAAGAAAGGTAGACTTGTTCAAGATCACTATATATGTATAATAATTTTTTTTTTCATTTTATTAAATATACTTGTTAACTTAAAACAAAAATAAGTATTTAAATGTTAAAAAGGCTAGATATGAATAAAAGTTAAACAATTATGAATCATATATTTTAACATAAGAAAAGAATGAAAGATACTTCATTTTCCGGTTGAAATTCAATATATGGTTGTAGGGTAGGATACGTAAGTTTTTGTTATAATTTTAGCTTATCTTTTTTTATTCCATAATATTTTGCTTATTTACATGCTAAATGAGCAAGTCAGATTGTTTACAAAGCAGAAGTTGTTGTGATAATTAAAGTTTATTGTTATGTAGCCTAGAATATAATTCCATGTGTAAAGCTTGCTTTGCATTATTGCTGATAAAATCAAAATATTTTGTGGTTAGTGGTTCAAAATGTTTTGTGGTTAGTGGTTTGATTATATTTTGCTCAATGAGATAGTGTATTTGTAAGAGAAGGTCAATACACATGTAGATTATCAATTTAAAACAACAATTTGTATGGTTGAATAAAAAGAAACCGAAAAAACAAAAATAAAAACAAAAACCGACAATGTGATTTTTACTTTTTGAAAACTAAAATAGTCGATTAAGTTTTGATTTATATACCTTAATAATTGGAAAAAGAACTGAATAGATCCATAACCCAAAAAAACGAATCAAAAAAAAAAAAATACGAGCTAAAACTGAAATCGTTTGATGATAACTAATTAATTATATTTTATTAAATATTTAATTACTTTTTATTATTTTTGTAAGATTTTCCAAACTCACCCCATCTAGTTAATTTTTTTACCAATTTTGTAATACTATCTTAGTACAAAATGTTTAATTATTTTGCAACAAAATTAAAATAAAAATGTGACTGCAGTAGACTTTATAAAAGACAAATACAAGTAGTTTTATATGTTGATTAAAGTTTTATATAATACTTAGGTCTATTGTTTAAGTGTTTAATTAATTAAGTGAAAGCACCTATTAACTTCATATGTATGTGTTCTCATGTCTTGTATTTCTATCGCATATCATGCATTCTTTTGCCTATGGATTAGTGAGTCTATACATTCATGGTCTGTTGGCACATTGATAACTTAATAATAGTATGTTTATAGTTTTTGCATAAATCTCAAGTTGATGTTTCCATCACTCAAAAGGATCAACCTAAGACTAATAATAATAATGTTTAGCTTAAATGAGAAGAGTTTATATACCGTATTTTCTGTGGTTCTCAAATGTTATTTGGTGATGGAATTCGTATTATATATTCATAAATCCGGTTAACTATTATTTTATTGAACAAATGTCTTAGAACAATTTATTGAAGAAAATTAAAGCACATGCTCGTAACTATTTATATATTCTCAAGTTTTTCGGTTTTATAAATACTCTAAACAAACAATCGTGACCTATCTTTTTTTGTTTCAAACTCAACCAAAATGAAACAAATTGAACCGTATGGAACAACCAAAAATTAATCATATTGAAGAACCAATTTGTATTATTCAAAAAAAAACTCTACATTTATGTTCATTTCGGCCAAAAGCGCACATCAGTCCATGTTCATCCCTAACAATTTGTGTCCCGCAGCATTGCGCGGGTACACAACTAGTGTGTGTGTGTGTGTGTGTGTGTGTGTGTGTGTGTGTGTGTGTATATATATATATATATATATATATATATATATATATATATATATATATATATATAGGGGATGGCTCAAATAAAATCACTAAATAAAGTGAGAACATGAGAACGATTTTCAACCAATCATTTCCTTTAGTTAAGTTAGTTTTGGTAATTAGTAAAAAAATATTATTGAAAATTGTATTAATAATATGTAGGGGTAAAATGGCCATTGTATTTGAGAGAATTATAGAAATAAGAGAAATATATCGGATTTTTAAAATTTGGAAATTTAAAATTTAAAAATTTTTAAATATCAAAACTTTTAAAATATTAAATTTTGAATTTGAGTTATAACCTTAATTTCAAGTTGATACTCATCATGGAATACTAGTTGTGTAGCCACGCAATGCAGCGGGACACAAATTGTTATGAGGTATGCTCTTTGAAGTTCATCTCGAACACTAGAATCATAATCTAAAATCCTAATCCTCATATATCCTAGGGTCTGAGGGAAGATCTGCTAAATTGATTTCAACATGGCTATTATTAGAAAAATCAGCATTAGTTGCCTCTGATAAATCCAAAACTTTTCATTTTGTTACATATTTATCCATGTCACTTAAATAATAAGTAATTAACAAAAAATAAACATTGTTTCTTATTATAAACATAGTAACTAAGCATAAAAACAAGCAGAGAAGACGAGGTTGTGCTCGTTTGATGCATAAACAAAAAAAAAAACAACATGAAAAATGGCAACAAAACAAACATTTTCACTTTCTTCTTTCATTTCCTTCTATAAAACAAATACTCACTTTCTCCTTTGATTTAGTGCAATAAAAACAAAGGGATGGGGCTCCTACATCTCTTCTCTACAAGTTGATGGGATTATTTTAATATTCAAAAGAAAATTGGCATCCATCAAAACAAACAAAGAAGTGATATTAATTTAATATTTATCAGTGGGGACAGAGGACATATCCTAAATAAACGCAGCCAACATTATACCCTAGTTTTGTTCATAATATAAGTTATTAGCAGTTTAGAAGACAATAACTTCTTGGATGCTCAAAGGGGAATTTTGGTATCCTAGTAATTTAGTCGGTTTGGGCCTAGCTAGTAAAAAAAAATCAAAAAGTTGAGGGTAGTTCTGGGCTTACACTGGACCTATGTGGCTTGGCCATTGGGAATCTGCAGTGCAAATTGGGATCGGAGGGTAATATATAGTAATGTTGACTTAGACCATTTTAAAATTGGTATAAAGCAAATATTATGCGTGCATGTTCGTGTAATTAAACAACACAAAGTTAAGGAGGGAAAATTTTCACGCTAAGACTCTGGTATTATCGATGCTTAAAATGTAAACAATGAATGGTTCTATATACAGAGCATACAAGCAGAAGAAACAAGAAACCATTGCATGAAATAATTAAGAAAAATCCAAAACAAAGTAGTATGACTAATAGCAAGCTGTTGATAAGATAGTAAGAAGACTTTCTGATTTTTCGGGATTGTCTTGGAATCATTCTTCAATAAGACTAGAGTGTGGGCGCATGGTTAGTGGCAACGGGGCTTGGTAGATGATTTGAAGCAGACGTATCATGCAGCAACAGG